AAAGAAAGAAAGAAAGAAAGAAAGAAAGAAAGAAAGAAAGAAAGAAAGAAAGAAAGAAAGAAAGAAAGAAAAAGATTCCAGTTAAGGCGGAGGGCAAAATATCTATAGAAAATACAGAGTAGCTTAGGGAAAGGATACAAACTAGGGATGCCATTTGCATACTACATTTCCTTGACTTTAAAAAAGCGGAAAAGCCGCTCTTGTGTAATACATTTTTAACAGTTGTTTGCTTATTTATTTAAAAGGCCAGAAGAGCAAGACACAAAAACAAACCAAAACAAATCAAAATAGAATAGAATAGAATAGAATAGAATAGAATAGAATAGAATAGAATAGAATAGAATAGAATAGAATAAAACAAAGCAAAAGAAAAGAAACAAACAAAATGAAAAGGGGCTCCACAGTCATCCTGTGTCCAAGGCCTGGGAGAACAAGTAGATCTTCAATAATTTCCTGAACAAATAAGGTGGGAGCCACATTAATCTCTAGGGGGAAATCATTCCAGAAGGCAGGAATAGCAACAGAATAGGAATGCTTCCTGGATCCTGCAAACTAAAAGTCTTGTTCACACTTTTAGTCAGGGTTTATAACAGTAAGGGGGGGGGGGGATCCAGCGTTTCGAGAAGACTAATCACATGAAATATTATCCAAGTATTATTTAAAGCTATGTTCTCAGATAAAATGAAATGCACAACCAACCTAGAGTACTTGTTTAAAGACACAAGACTGGACATTCCTGAGTTCTTAAAACGTGTTGCAAATGAGCAGTCTTCCTCTCATCTTACCATATCAAGGTCTTGGGATACCCTTCGTTTACGCAGCTCTTCCATCCTTTCACACACATCAGTAAAACAGGTATTATAGTAATCTGCATACTGTTGAGCCAGATCATCAATGTTGCCCAATGACCCGTCCTACAGAAAAATACAGAAGGAACAGAGTGTAATGATTAAACCATTCTTAGTAAATTTAAAGGCATTAATGTAGTTACAGAATGGAGACAGCACCTCAATTTCTATAGTGCTCAAAAAAGCAGTGAGGATACAAGAAATTCATATAAACTTCAAAATGATACATTGTCAAGATATCATTAGATGATGAGGCTGTGCAATGCTTTAAATTAAATCTCCAAAAGATGCTTCAGAGCATACAAGAGCAGGAACCCAGCACCTTAAAGCATTTTGGTCTTCTCCCAGAATTGTTCAACTCCCCTTCACAGCAATTCAGGGCAGTCTTGTCAATGGTAACCTTCTGTCTTGTTCCCTTGGTTTAGACAATTCCAAACATTCCAAATAATGTCCATTTGAAAGATCAGCTTAAGTAAGATCTCTTTTTGGATTCATCTCATGTATGCAAAAAGCCCAGAGCTACCACTCCTTACTGATGTACCAAATTTTATTTGTAATTCAGCCAACATGTTTCAGCCAAGTGATAAATCTAAATTGGAATTAAATGAAATATATTAAATAATGTAGTTTATACATGTACATAAGGCTGCAACTTAAATCTCTACAATATTTAAAATCGTAGCTTGACTTAGGAACTCTTTAACAGGATTCGCAAAATAATATGACACTATCATTATTCATCTTTTCAGGTTCTTAACTTGGAAATGGTTGCAAACAGACTCTGTCTTGCGAATCCACTACTAATGTTATTTCACGGGAAAAGACTTCTTCCAGAAAGCATAGTTCATCCTTTATTTGATCCAAGTAAGTTACTGTCTAATAAAAGAAACTTTAAAATTAGGTTATCATCTCCTACATACTCTTTCACAGCATGATTTTTCTGGTTCAAGAGAGAAAATAAATCATAAAGAAAAAAAAACATTTTAAGAGGGGGAGAACGGAACATTTAATAAAAGTAAACTATCTATAACATTTCAGGACAATACTTGTCCAACATTTTCTTCTGAGACTGGCTTGTGCACTGGAATACTCCCATCTTATAAATATAAATGCTTCAGATTTTTTGGTGAAATAATTACATGTACTTAAAATGATGAATTGGTATGAAATTCCTACAGAATTAGTCTGATAACATGTGAATATCAGAAACATCCATCATGATCCATGTGAATGAAATGAATAACAAAGACAAGTCATAATAATCTAGTGGTTACTGAGCTAGATTTATTGGTTATTGCACATCAGTATGATTAATATGCTGCAGCATTATTTGTAACTGATGTTAATAATAACACAGAGCAACAGCTCATTAAATGCTTTGAATTAAATAAATGAAATAAACCTCATGAGAAAAAAGTATTCATCTCAAAATGTTGTTTGTTAATACTTTTCTTCTTTTAAGTTCATTGATATAACTTTTTTTTTTTTTTTACTATAAGTTAGCACCCAAAGTCAGCCTGGCCTTTGAATCCTATACCATTTTATAAAAGCTGTGTAATTCTACACTGGAACAAACATGGTGGTTTGACAAGGTGAGAGCAGCAGGTAATACACCTACAGAAATAATGTTGAAATTGTAAGGTATCTGGTGGTTTTTGTGGGGGGAGGGAGTGTGGGACAAAGAAAATAAAGCTAGACCACAGACTTAATGAAATATGAAAGCTTTTATAGAAGACCTAACATGTCATTTATGTTGTTCATGTCCTCTTTGAAGTGTTCACTGAAAACAGTTAATCCAAGGAACAAGAATCTAAGAACAGTGATTAACAGTATTTATTAGAAGAAGGGTAAGATTACACACAAAAATTCCAACAAGTACTCTTCTTTCAAATGAGACATCTCCATATAGGCAATTTAGAGAAGCAAAACTCTAGTCTACTACTTCACAGTTTTTTGATATAGATTGCTGGAAGCTTTCCTCTTTTTTGAAGGTGAGGTAAGTCTGCATCTGCTACCATGTTTTGGTAACAATCAGCCTGAAGTAAAACTTATAGTTCTAGTTTCACTGTTTTGTTAAACTAAGGTTGCCTTTTAGAAACTGGTGTGCTTCAGATCCGTTGAGACTACAGACCCAGAATTCACATTCAGAATGATAACAGAATTCTTTCAACAGATTTGGAAGACACCTGGGTGTGGATGACTGAACTAAAACGAACAAGAGAAAAATACTAGCCTTCCATGCATACAGATATCCTTGTGGATATAAGTGCACCCAAGAAATCTGAAAGAAAAAAAAATTAGGGGTAAAACTCAACAATATTTCTCCTGATTAGAAATAACTTTACAGGATTCAGAATCAGAGACAGAAGCAGCTAGTAAGGCCATCAAGTCCAATCATTTGTTCAGTGCAGAAATCCAAATTAAAACATTCCTGACAGGTGTCTTTAGCTTGAAAACATCTAGTGAAGTGGAGGTTGCAACATTCCTTGTTAATTGGTTTTATTGTCCAATGGCTCTTACTGTCTGAAAGTTTTTTTTAATATTCTATTGGAACCTGCCTTTCTGGAACTTAAGACTGTTATCCTGCACTATGTTGTAGGAAAGGATAAATTTTGACTTTTCTTTTGTGTAACAAATTTCTCTGTTTTTTTTTTTCCAGGCCTATCTGGAAATATTCTCCCTACCATTGAAGGGGACTTTTATTTATTAAACACATTTCTATCTTGCCACAGTCAAAAAGACTCTCAATGGCTTATAGGACTGGATGTTTCTTATTCTAATAGATGTTCCTAGAATTAACTCAGAGTGTATTCAGAATTTATGAATGGTTATGACCTGAACTCTGCAACCAGGATTCAGTTCCTCTAATTTACCAACAATCTGATAGGTAACACTATTTCTTGGATCTGCTGGTAATTTGACCACAGTATTTCCTTAGCTAGTTCAGCAGTTGCTTGGACTAAGGGAGTGAAAACATTAACCTCCTAAATCACAGCAGGTAAAGAAAATAAAAATATGGACTGAAAAAGCCAATCCTTACCTTTAAAGAATACCTGGAAAATAAAGAGAGGTGTTCACTGTATGAAATATTTCACATATTCAGCTCTGGCTATTTGCAGATAAATAGAGAAAGATAGACACCATTTGTGCTAACCTGAGACACAAGAATTACTGTGTGGAAGATCACTGCAAGCATCAACAATTTATCTACAGAGCTTCAATATAATTAGAAGAGGCAGCCATGAAGAACTATGCAGTGTATTACTTTACTTTATTACTTTATTACAGTCATAGACCAGTACAACTGAAAATACACAAAACATATCTAATTAAAAATTCTTAAATAATAGTAAATAAAATCCATATCATAATTATAATTTGGCAGCCTATCATTTATACATGAAGTCAAGCAGCCTATACTGTAGTATATTATTACTCCTTAAATTATGACAACCTAAAATTATTAATTAACTACTAAAATTACAACAGAATAATATCTAAAACTGAAATGTGTTGATTATGTAAAAATGTTTATAATAAATTATTAATTAGATACTGATGGATCTTTAGCACTGCTGCTCAGAATCTAGCTATCTGCGCTGTGACTATAATCCGCTCGTCTTTAAGCAGAAACTGTAGATAGTCAGAGCAGCCTGGATACCTATTCATCATCGGATAAATAAATTTTGTTCGAATGTCTCTATAGAATGAGCATTGAAGAAGAATGAGTCCAGTGGTTTCTACCTCTCCAGAATCACAGGGACAGAGCCTTTCTGCCAATCGTATCTTTTTGTATTCGCCATCCAGAGCAGCTGAGGGGAGTGCATGGCATCGTGCAAGTGAGAAAGCTTTCCGATGATTCGCCGACTCTAACTGGCTAAGATATCTGGCAGGATTGACAGTGTATCTGGTATAATCTGGAGACAAGAACGATGGAACTTTCTCTAAATCCGTTTGCCTCTCTATGTCCTCTATCCTTTGTCTTAGATTTTGTTTTGCCTGGTCATAGTCCAATTCAAGTATTGAGGAAGGAGAAAAGCTGTTTTGCAAGGTTGGACTGAACAGCCTTGATCCATGAAGAGGAGAATTTATCTTGGAGGATTAATGATGCAAGACCTTCGTGAAAAAAATTTAGCTTTAGCCAGAGGTTTAAGGAAGTTATACAGAGTCTTGATTCAACTTTTGTCAACCCAGTCTCCAGACGGAGGTGTGCATTTGAAACACAATGAGGCACCTGGAGAATTGCTCTAATAAATTTTGATTGTATTCTTTCCAGAGATGTAAAACAAGAAACTGGGGTGAACTATGCAGTGTATGCACATGTAACATCTTTGATTTGGATGCTATGGCTGGGACAAAGGACATGGCCGATGCAAGCTATGTAGTGCTTCAGCAAAATTATCCCACAAGCTTCATGTTACTGAAGAAGATCTACAGAGATTATTGCAGCATCAGAAATAGTTTCCGTCAATCACAGGTCCTAACAGAAACATAATGTCTAACATACCTGATGTACTTAAAGTTACATAATGGTCTAGCTTTCTCCAATTTGGCACTTATCAGTCATGCTAGAATTACTACTACCAGGTTTTTCAGCCAATATTGCTGGCTGGTTAAAAATTCAAGCAGTTTTCATCTGGCATTGGAGATTGCCAGATGGTCAAAGGATGGAATTACCTATTTAAAACATCTGTCTTTTTTAGTAATCATATTTCACTTGTCCTTTTTAGACAGTCACATTGGCTTGGCAATGATTCAAGTAATCCTCCAACTTCCCATCATTTTTCTGAAGTAATCTGATGTTCAGAATATAAACCTCTCCCACCCATGCCTCCAATCACATGGCCCCTTAAAGACTTCCTGCTTGAAGGTGCATGCAGTGGTGACTAGCAGGAATCCTGGTAGAGGATGGAGAATTTTGTCATCTTTTTTTTTTTTTGCCAGTCCCTCTGATGAGCAAACAGAAGTAAAACCTTTTGCAGGTGATTAAGGCATTGGACCAGCAATAGAGACATGGATCATATAGTGCTTTCTCCATTAACCTGCCATGTTTCTACACTAGATGT